GGATCAATATTTTCAGGTCCTCTGAGTTGGAAAGGCATTTGCCCTGGCCAGTGTGGCTCAGCCGTTAGACCAATGAGTCGCAGGTTCGATTCCGGCCAAGGGCATGTACCTCGGTTGCGGTTTGGTCCCCAGCTCCGGTGAGGGTTGCGCGGGAGGCAACCGGTCAGTGTGTCTCTCTCACGTCAATGTTTCTCTCTCTCTCTCCTCCACTCTAACTGAAGATAAATAGAAAAATATCCTCGGGTGAGGATTAAAAAAAAAGCTTCCTAAGTGTGGTGGGTAGAAATCCAAGCCAACAAATGTAGGACTCTGCGAACATGCCTGCATTTTCTATAACTTCATTTGCATTTCCGGCTGGTGAGGCCTCCAGGCCATGAGTCCGGGGTGTGAGTTAAGCCGTGCTGGCGGGGAAGATAAAGTTCAAATTGGGCCTCGGTGACGCGTGGGGTTTTTTAAGGTGAGAGCAGGGAAAGGACCCAGAAAGGAAGCAAACATGTGGTTCAGAAGTGCAAACTCGTTTTAGCTCTGTTTCCATGGTTTCGTAACCACGCGGAGAAAAGCACCTCGCCGGGGAGGGTAACCGAGGTTACCCTAACTCGGGAGCTCGGGAGTCAGCGGTGTGTGCTCGCTCGGTGTGTGCTCGCTTGGTGTGTGCTCGTTCGGTGTGTGCTCGCTCAGTGCGTGCTTGCTCGGTGTGTGCTCGCTCGGTGCGTTCTCCCCCGGTGTGTGCTCGCTTGGTGTGTGCTCGCTCGGTGTGTGCTCGCTCGGTGCGTTCTCCCCCGGTGTGTGCTCGCTCGGTGTGTGCTCGCTCGGTGCGTTCTCCCCCGGTGTGTGCTCGCTCGGTGCGTGCTCGCTCGGTGCGTGCTCCCTCGGTGGTGCTCGCTCGGTGTGTGCTCCCTCGGTGGTGCTCCCTCGGTGGTGCTCGCTCGGTGCATGCTCGCTCGTCCAGTGCATCCTTGCAGAGGCCACTCACTGTGCATTCCCTGTGTCCTGCAACTCGTGACACCTCCCCACCAGCAGGGGAGCCAGGCAGCTGGGGGGAGGGAACACGGGAGGACGGGGTCAAACATTCAATTAGATAACATCTAACTAAAGGACCTGGGGTGCCACCAGTCCCGGACGCAGGGGTAGAGACGGAAAGCGGTTTCATGCTTTCTCCAATCGATGCTTCAGCCGTCCAGTTCCGCGCTCTGTCTCCCATTGACACAGGCAGATCCCACTGTGTTCTGTTCGCTTTCAGTTGTTAGAAACCCTTGCGATTTTAAATCACTGCCTCCTGTCCAGTTCAAAGCTCTCGGGTCCCCAGTCTCCCACGCCAGCCCAACTGCGGTTCTGAGACAGAGCTCGATGCCCATCTCTCCCTGGCTTGGTCTGGTTCCGTTCTCCCTGGGTACCTCTGCAAAAGGAGCGGCAGACAACATGGAAACTAAGGAGCCTGGCACTGCAAAGGCAGAGGTGAGGGGTGGCCGCAGACTGTCTGGCCTGCAAAGCCTGACATGTTTACAATCTGGTGCTTTAAAGAGAAGTGGGCCCAGCCCAGCCAGCTGCAGGCTGCAGCTTGGGGCCAGGCTCGGGAACAGCCGTCACCAGGGACATGTTCCTCTCGTGGTAGGTGAAGAGCAAGCAGAAATGGACGACACCTCTGAAGACCTGGCTCACGGGAATGTCCACACCCCACACGCTCTGCCCGTCCTAGCGGGAGGGACGGCAATCATTTCTGATTCTGACACAGGCAGTGAGGAGAGGGCTGGGAGCAGAGATCTCATCGGCCACAGCTGGGCACCCAGGCTTGGCCGTCAAGCCGTCTGTGCACGTGTCCCTCTGCTACACTGCCTTCTGTCCCGGGCAAACTATCACAGGTGCAATCAAGAAAAAAGAATGGGAAGGCCACGGGGAAAGACCACAGGGATTCTCCCATCATTCCCTACCCATAAGGGCTACTCCTGAGCACGAGGCACCATCCGGGACACCGCCATCCCCAGCCACCAATGCCAGCAACCTACAAACAACGTCAGCACAGCTCCAGCAAGTGCTCAGAAGAGTGCCGCCCTTCAGGAACGCCATCGTCCACAACTGAATGCGTGTGGACTAGGTGCTGAGCTATCCCAAAGGCCACCGTTCCTGCTACCCAGCAGGTGTTCTTGGAGCAAGCGTCTTTCAGAGGCAGGACATAAATCAGCCACCTTCTGGAGGTCCCTTACCGATGAGAAGGAGAAGATGGGTGCATAGGACTTCCCGATCACCCCTCGGACAGTTCTCCTGAAAGCAGGAAGATCAGACCCACCACGGAGCCTGCTGGTTGTGAAACGCGACGCCCAGGAGTGTTTGCTGTGCTGACTGACAGGTTGGAGCACCAATGGGACAGGATGATGAATAGGTTCCCTGGCGTTCCAGCAGCTCAACAAGCCCCCTGCTGCCCCGGGTTGGTTCTCCGTGTCATAATGGGATTGGGCACTGGCCAAGAAATCCACGGGAGGAAGAAAGAATTTATAAAGCACGTGCAAGCTACTGTTTGGAAAAGAAGATGCAAGAAGAGATGTAGTGACTAATACGGTGACACTGATATGTTGTAGGGCACGGTGGCATGGGGTAGATGTTCTTTTCGAGCTCCACTGAAAATCAAAGGAGCTACGAAACAGTGGACGTGGAGGGTCTGTGAACAACCACATGTCGAAAATAGTGTTCTTGACGAGATGCCTTCTGGGTTCAAATCCCTACGATGATTGTCATTCTGAACGGAGGTCCAGATCACGTCTAATACTCCCGGGCAAGTGCCTTTATGTATATAGGGAAATAAAACTACCATTTATTGAGAACTCATTTGTACCAGGCACAGAATGTTATGCAGGCAGAATTCCATGTAACTCTGTTTATGAGCATAATTGTGCCACACTGCATATGAGCAAACGGAGACTGCACTGGTCTTACCATGTAGTCCCTCATCTGGAAACATCTGGACTAAGAGAACAGTAGCATGGCTCATGAACGGCTGGTCACAGGTATCTGATAAGGGGTGACAGCTTGCTGTAGGCATACTGTCCTCAAGCATGGCTGACACGTGGTGCTCTGTGCACAGTGTAGAGCAGGCCGGTCCTGCACAGGGCTGGGAATGCCAGGAGCAAGAGTCACTGGCGCCAGCTTGGAGCTGGCTCTCACCCCTGGGAAAGACCCAGAAGTACCAGGAGTTCATGCCTCAGAAGTCAACTAGGACCCACGGGGGACAGGGGCTAATGGACAAAGGCTTCCCCTCTGACAGTTCTGAGACGCATTTCATAAGGCTCTTGAGAAGCTCTTGGTGAGATGAAGAACCAGTCACCAACGATAGTGGCAAAATCGATGCTGCGCGTTGGCCTGCGGTCCAGAGAGACCCGGGTTCAGTTCCCGCTAAGGGCTTATACCTCGGTTGCAGTTTGTCCCCGGCCCTGGTTGGTCATGCGGGTGGCAGCCACTCGATGTGTTTACGTCGATGTTTCTCTCTCTCTCTCCCTCCTACTCTATCTGAACAAAAAATGGAAAAATGTCCTCGGGTGAGGATAAAAATCAATGTTGCGTTCTTGTACCGGTTTTCCCTCCTCCCCGTTTCACTTGCCAAATAAACAAGCCTTTGTCTCTGGTTCTGGTTATGGCTCTGGTGTGCATGTGTGCATGTGTATGTGTGCATTTGCATATGTGCATGTGTGCATTTGCATGTGTGCATGTGCATGTGTGCATCTGCGTATGTGTGCATTTGCATGTGTGCATGTGCATGTGTAGGGAGGAGGGGAACAAAGGTAGGACACCTATGTAGTATTTGTTGCTGACGATTTATTTACTGAGGTGTAATTACATATAGTGAAAAACACAGCTCTTAAGGGTAGTTTGACGAGTTTTGACAAATGTACACACACCCATCAGTACAGAGGGTCTTACCAGCGCCCCAGAAAGTCCCTTGGTGTCGCTTTCAGTCTCTCTCCACCAACACTCCCGGAAGGAACCACTGTTCAGATAGCTCTTCCTGCAGATTACTTGGTCTGTTTTGAACTTTAAATAGAATAGATATGCAGAATTAGGACCGTGCTGGTGGATGAAACATGGGTGAAAATTCTGTGCCACCCTTTGACAAGAGGTGGAGTCTATGTCCCCTCCTCTTGGGTCTGGACAGCCACTATAGCAAGTAGATGGCGGTGTTCAAACCAAGCAAGGTGGTGGTCAGATGACTTCCGAGATTCTGACCCGGCAAATTCTTCCTGGGTGGTGCCATTAGACCCAAAGCAGCAATGCTTCTCGTTGCTTCCTCTGCCCACTGAGCCACTGAACGTAATTGATCAGATGCTCAATTTCTGGCAGAATAAGATTTCCAGCAGCTGTCCAATAGGCAAAGTAAGCCTCCTCCTTCGAGCAGCCCCTGCCCTGAGCTGTCTCCTTCTCGCCACCTAGGGTGGTGGAAAGGGTACTGGGTTTGGACGTGACGCTGCCACTTCCTGGCAGGCTGGCGGAGCTCGGGAAACGAACTCATCTGTGCAGCACCGGTTTTCTCGCCTGGAAAACACCTGCTCCCTTCACAGGGCGTGGGGCGCAAAGGGATGGTGCACGCGCAGCTCCACGCACCTAGCAGGCCGGGTCTCCCTTCTGCGTCTCAGGCACCAGGGTTCTCCCTCTGGCCTAGGCGCTCACTCCGGTTAACCAACATCTGTTGGCTGCGGCCCCTTTAAGAGGCCTTGGAGGACCCAGCTTCAAAGCCGAGGGCGACCCTCTAGCTGCCGCCTCGATGGTAGCCCGTCACTTCCGGTCGGAAGTGCGTGTTGTTTCGGTTTCGGCCGGGGGCCGGAGATGGGAGCTATGGGGGTGCGCGTGGTCGCTCGTGTCCGAGAGGCGATCCCGCTCGGCCCGGGCTGGTCGCCGGCCCCCGGCCCCCGGCCCCCGGCCCGCAGGGTGACGCGGCTCCCGCCCGGGCTGCTATCGATTCTCGCGAGAGGCGCCTCCGCGGGGCCGCGACTTCGGGGCCGGCTCCCGCTCCGCACCGGGGGCTTGGGCCGCGCGGCAGGCGGAACTGGGGCCGACGCAGGCCCCCAGGCTTGAGGTGAGCGGGTGGGGGGGCGCCGCAGCCGCCGGAGAAGCCTCGGGGGCCCGGCTGGGCAGCCCGCGCGGTCTCGGGGCGTGCGGACAGCGAGTGCACGTGCCTCCTTGTTTCCCTCCGCCCCAGGGCCCCCCGGCGGTGCGGAAGGCGTGCAGCCACGGTGGCCGCCGCGCGTGCGCGGGGACGGCGCGGCGCGGGCACCGGTACGTGGGCGCGGAGACGGGGTGTCGTCAGGCGCGTGGTCTGGGGAAAGGCTCCTGTGTTGCTGAACCTGCCCAGCGGCGGGCGCAGCCTCGTACCAGGCAGCCCCACCCTGACCTAAAGTAAATTCCCGGGGGCAGGTCCTCCGGAGCTTGGATTTGCAGTAACAGGTGTGGACATTCTAGCAGCAGTTTGATGATCATGTATGATACTGCAAACAAGACCCGAGCCGCACGGGGCAGGCCGCTGCGGTTGGCCAGAGAGCCGGGCGTTTTCCAAACCTGTCAACGGTGCTGATTTTTATAAACGTGTGTCCATACTGTGGCCCGGCGCCACCTGAGTGTTAAGGGTGCAGATGAACAAAACAGCCTTGTTCCCAGGGAGCTACAGCCCACTTGGAGAGGCCAGATGAAGTAATCACGCCGCCGAAGAGGGTGAGGTGGTGAATGCTCAGCAGGAAAGCAGTTTTCCATAACAACGTGTCACCAGGAGCCTGATGGAGACTCTCGAAAGCATTCCTGCGATGGGATCCTTGAGCTAGATTCTAAAGGGTGAGTAGGAGTTCGGTGGGAAGGCTGGGGGGGGGAGGGGTAGCATGTGCAAAGGCCCAGTGGTCTAGCCAGTGTGCCTAGTGGATGAACTGAGAGAAGGCCATGGTAGCCCAGCAAGAAAGGTGGAGGATGGTGTGAAACGAAGCTGAAAAGGTGGGGAAGGGCCAGACCACACAGGGCCCGTGGCTCGTGAACATTTTGGTCTTTCCTAAGAATGTGAGAGATGATGGGTTTTAAACAAGAGGATGGTGTACTGAAATCCGTCATCTCAAAAGGACGCTATTTGCAGAACAGTGCTGTCTAGTGGACCATTTTGCAGTGATGGAAATGGTCTGTGTCTGCTCAGTCCAGTCGACAGCCAGAAGCCACGTGTGGCTACTGGGCCCTTGCAGTGTGGCTGGTGTGACTGAGGAAGTGGCTTTTTTTTTCTTTTTTTATCCTCACTTGAGGACATTTTTCCATTTTTTGTTCAGATAGAGGGGGAGAGTGGGAGAGAGAAACATCAATGTGAAAGGGACACATTGAGTTGCTGCCACCCGCACAACCCAACCAGGGCCGGGGGCAAAGTGCAACTGAGGTACATGCCCTTAGTGGGAACCAAACCCGGGTCTCTCCGGACCACAGGCCGACCTCTAACCTGAGCCAAACTGGCCAGGGCAAGGAACTGGCTTTTCAAATTGAGCTTAAATGGAGTTTGGACAGTAGGGATCTAGAGTGTATTGGAGGCAGTGGTGACACCTGTATGGGGATCATGACACACGGGTGTCCTTTTATGTCTCCTGCACCTCCTCCCTTCCTCAGTAAAGACTGAGCTGGGTTTTGTGCTGTGGAGAGTCCTCGTGTTGCTTTCTCCTGAGGAGCGCACAGGTAGGACTGCTTGTGGAACCTGGAGCTTTTGTTCTCTTGGCTGTAGGACAGCCCACTCCCTGGGGAGCAGCATTCGTTCCCCCGTCTTTGCCCGTTTTGTTGCAGCACATAGATTGAGTGACATCTTCAGCTCATCTCAGCACCTACCACGGTCAAAGCACTATGGCTGTGCCTTGATGGGGTGTGACGGAAAGTGGTCCCTGGTGTAAGGGCTTGGATCTGGAGAGGTAGATGACAGTGAGTGCTCGGGACATCGGGAAGGGGCGCCCGTCAGGGTGTGGCCCTGTACAGGCTGTTGGCAGCTGATGAAACAAGGCAGGAAAGGCAGGGAGCATGGAAGCGCTTGAGAGGATGTGGGAGCTCAGGAGATGGGGACAAACTGGGGGAGCACATGCTAGAAGAAAGGGAGGCAAATGTAGGGATGAATAGGCTGTGTTGGGTAATAGGGGCCTTGTCAGCGTTCAGGCAGGTTTCTGAGGAAGGCCCCAGTGGTGGGCGAGGAAGTCACTGAGTGCTTGGGGTAGGGGGACCAGCCCTCAGGGTCGGGGACTGATGGAAGCAGGGTCACCTTCCACACTGTGTTCTGGTGGAAGGCAGAGGTTAGAGTTTGGCGGGTGCTTTAAGGCACTAACAGTTGCAGTTCCGTGAGCTCAGGTCTGCTGAAGGACTGGAAACTCACGGTGTACTTTCTTTGCAGGCGAGTTCCCTGAAGATGTGTGTGCACGCTGGGTGAAACTCTGCTGATTCCATCTCTGCCTGGTTCTCTGGGCCTAAAATGTGATTTGTTTGAGGACCGCCCAGGTTTGTTTGGTTCATTGTTAAGCACATACTTTTTTAACGCTGACCTGCATAAGACCCTGTTTTGTATGGATATGAATAAATGGGGTCAGACTCCAAGGAGACTTGTCACACTGTTTTCTGTGCACAGTGACGGTGTGTCTGAGGGTGTCGCCTCTGCTTCTGAGATGCATGGTTGGCAGCACTGTTCCCCGTGAAAGTGACTCATAGAGAGCCACTCGCCATTCTCTACAGGACGTGAGCCCTGGCGGTGCTGGTCATCTCGGGAGTGAGCTGTCAGTAGGTGGGCACATGGAGGAAGATAGCATCGTCTCAGTAACTGATGGGAGCGGGTGGCTGGTGTGGTTCAGGGTTGTGGTCACCTGGCTCAGAAGGAGCACTTCGTTTCGGACAGAATTCGCTAGGAAACGACCACTGGCCTCAGAGCTGTCCTTGTCGCTGCCGGGCCCTGCCCTTCTCTGACCATCTCTGCTTCCTCGTCTGCACTGCTAACCGCACGCTGACCTCGCGCTTCAGCCTGGACGGAGGTGCACACTTCACCGAGGGTGCCGCCAGCCTTCTGCGGGGAGGAGCCGCTCCTTCCTTGGGGACTTTGTTGTGGCTGCTCAGCAGTCACATTCGTTGGGCAGCTGGCGCCCCGTACCCTTAACTTAGTCCCTCAGCAGCCCCGACCCAGGGGTTCTCCGCGGGAGCAGAACCCCCACCCCCAGGGCACACGCACAGCCCAGAGGTCGTCGTCACAGGGGTTGGCCCTGTGGTGCTGGGTGGGTGGGGCCATCTTTACAGCAGACAGTTCTCCCAAGTCCCACTGTCTTTTGAATGATTTGCCGTCTATTGATGTGAAAAGAGGAAAACCAGCCTGTTTTTAGCTGTCACGGTGGTGGTTCGTAGAGGGCACGTCTGGTTGTCCCACGCTGTCTCCCCCCACGCTGTCTCCATGCGTACCGTAGGGCGCTGTGGGTACGTCCTTTCTCATGTGGCGTAGGGAGGACTTCCAGCCTAGTCGTGCCACACCCAGGTACCTGCCTGTCCCCCTTACTTGTGCCTGTATTTTGGGATGTACTTGGTGAACCTCTTAACAGCCCAACCTCATCTTGTCCAGCTTAACTTCCAGGCAGGTATGGCCCCTGGGTGCCTGCCAAAGCCAGGATGGTAACGTCGGTGCTGCCGGGTCAGCCCTTGGTGGGCTTTACAGCAGCCAGGAATCTCAAAGAACCGGTGTGGAGGGGCAGTCCGGCGGGGGGAAGGGTCAGTGCAGCCCAATGGCCCAGCGCGCGCCACCTCGGTACTGAGGGCAGAAGTCCCCGTTCTCTGTGGTGAAGAGTGAGCGTGGGTGTCGGGGTCCCAGCTCCGCCTCGGGCCCTGCCTGTTTACCTCAATGTCTTCAGTAAAGTGGGGGCGACAATGACAACGGGGACTCCTGCCAGGTGGGCGCTGGTGAAGGTTCAACATGAGCAAATCGGTGAAGTGCTCGGAGAGCTTCAGACGTGTTAGTGACCGTCATTTACCGTCACTTACATTTACCTAGAATTTTCAGAGCATTCCCAGGGTGCTGGTGTGTGGGAGAGGTCGGGGTCTTGGTGCTGTTTGCAATAGCAGGGTGCCTGCCTGCTCCTGCGGGGGGCTTCTGTAGGCTCCTGGCTTTTCCCTCGTAGTTGTAAGGTTTGGGCCACTGCTCAGTGCAGTAACCACTCTGTCTACACGCTTGTTTTTCCAGGGGGAAGGGCAGTGGTTGCGTATTACACGCTGTATTTGTGATGTGTGCTGGGGCATACAGCACGTACTAGTGTTTCTAGAATAAACGTGGACGCCCATCCGCTCCCTCGTTCTGCGTGGTTTCTCTGAGTGCGCGTCTGCTTCCTCACAGTGGCTGCGGGCAGAGCCTCGTCTGTCCGGCCTGGTGTCCACCTGGTCCAGCAGCTGTGGGCCCCACGTCTGCAGTCTTGGCTGGGGAGCTGGTCAGCCTTTGGTTTGGTAGCTTCATCAGAAGTGTTAGATCCTGGCCCTCAGCTGTGAGGTCGTATTTCTAGCATGATTCGGTTCACCCCGAGTGCTAGATGTCACTGCACTGATCTACCGAGGAGGGTGCCTGAGTATCCCCAGTGGGTCGGTCTGGGACTTCGGGTGGAGGAGCCAGCATCCTAGGCAGGGCGGTAGGGTGGCACAGGCGCCGAGAGACCAGGTCCTCCGGAGCTCCCCCCAGCTGCCTGCTTGTCCTTCCACTCCGGCCTGCTGCAGTCCGCACAGTGCTGCCCTGCCCGGGGCGGCATCGGACCTCCGCCCCTTCCCCCAGGACCACGCCGCCAGGCAGTAGTCTGCCTTGACCCCGCCACCCCGCACACTAAGGCAGTGTGCTGGGGCCTTCCTAGGTGATGGGAGGGAAGCCTGGAGCCCCCAGGAGGACCCTCGGGGGGACCTTTATGGGATACAGAAGGCCCGGGATAGAAAACTTAAACATTGAGCTAAAGAGTAGTTGCAACAGCCAAGAGTGAGCCTCCCACAGCTGCCAAGGGAAAGAACCCTCCTATGCACAGACGTCAAGATCTTGAACTTCTCTCTTTGTCCACCAGAGGACGCACTCAACACCAGACTGTTCTCTTGTAACTTGGTACAAAGTGTTTTTTTGTTTTTTGCTTTTAATTTAGCCAAGAACTTATTTCACTGGAGAGTTATGCAGAAAGTTAATCTGCAGGGTTGGGCTCTTTCTTAGGAAACTACCAGGGTGTCGCAGCGGCATGCAGTTCCTGGGAAGGGTTTATTATGTCACAGGGACCAGCTGGACCAATGCAGTCATGGGACAAGGCCGGGCGGTGGCCCTTGGGGATGAGAGTGTGCTCTAATGCAGCTTGTCATCGAAATTCCCTGCCGGTGACAACAGCCGGTTTCACTCTGCAGCATGAGCAGGCCCGGAGCCCAGAGCCACACAGACCAGGCAGTGCGCTGAGGGCTTGAAGGGGCTTAGTGGCCAGAACACTGCTCGCACTTGGGATGGGAAGGTACGTGCCAAGACCCAACAAAGTTTTTTCAAGCCAGTGTGGTTAGCTTGCTGATTGCCGTCCACTGGAAAAGCGCCGTTGGTTTGGAAAAAGAGGGTCGCAGCTCTGGAAGTGTGATGGTAGCGGAGTGTGACATGTTCTCTGGTTTATGATTCTGGGTGGCAGCTTTCGACAGATTAAACGTCGAATTGCACGCTCACTGCTGCTTGCCTTGCCCTCCCTCCCGGTGCGGGTGGGTGACATGAGGGCTCTGGGAAAGGGGAGCACGGGGCAGGGTGGGGTGCGGTGGAGTTTGCAGTTGTAGGTGGGGAGTCAGGAAAGGCCCTGGATGTAGGTAAGGGAGTAAGTCCTGGCAGCCTGGAACAGCATTCGGGTTCCAGGGAACAGCCAGTGCAAAGGCAGCCAGTCGGCCAGCATGAAGGAGCGTGGACACGCAGGCTTTATGAGGAGAGGTGGAGGGGACCGGGGACCGAGTCTTGCAGAGCCTTGTAGGAAAGTTTGACTTTTACAAAAAGTGAGTACATAGTGTCAGCAGTTCATTTCTTCTCATCTTTCAGGGACCATTTTCCCCCTAACAGAGTAGGTTACATCAGAAGGGTTTCCCGTGGGCGCCCAGATCTGTGCATCGGGAGTGCGCTCTTCCCTTGGCAGCCGTGGGAGGCTCCTCTCGGCTCTGCTGAATCCTCACCGGGGTGGGTGACGTGGAAAAACAGCGTACGGGTGTGACAGGTGAGGTTCCTGCAGCCGACCTCCTGCCCGTCACCTTGTAGGTGGAGCTGGAGACACTGCCGGAATGTCCCCCTGCCTCTCGGCCCCTGGCGAGGCCCCCACTGTCCACTCCTGCGGTGGCCACCTCGGGCGGCTGTGTACTTGTTATCCAAAGAGCAGAGAAGTCTCATTTAAATCATCATCGAACTGCTGTCCAGAGACTACAAAAGCACAGTCGCCTGCAGTCTTGACAAGGTGGAAGCCTGTTTGGGTTGTACGCGGCTGAACGTAATGACTGCCTCTCAAACACCTACTCATTCTAATATTTCTTTCAGATGAATTGTGCAGCTACAGCAGAAAACTAGTTCTTTCGCTGCAGGTGTAGTTGAAGTGGAGCCACATGAGCCGTGGGAGGTCACGTGCCCGGCCGGTCAGCTGCGCCGTGTGTGCTGGTTACGCAAGGCTGCTCTGGAGCTGAAGCCGCGGTCAGCAAACACTTAGAATATTGCCTGGAGTTGAAATAAGACTCTGCTTCTTTGAACAACAAATTCCTTGTTGACAAAACCAAGGCTTGTTAATCCTGGCTTCCCCTGGAGACTGGCTGCCCCAGCGAGTTCAGTGTCTGTGAGTCCGACCTCTGACATGCGCGCCATGTGAGTGGGGCGAGCCCTTGGCGAGGCAGTGAGGGCGAGATCAGAGATTAAGGAGGCAAAATGAAGTCGGCGGTTCACTCCCTCTGGTCGCGTTAACTGCGTTCGACATTGTTCATCACTCTTTTCCCGAAGTAGCGATGCACTGGCTCTGAAAGCTCGTGGGGTGCAGTGGGGTGAAGAGGCTGGCAGTGGACAGCCCGAGTCCTCCCACAGGCGCCCTCTGCAGCTCTCGGCCCCGTCTGCCAAGGTCACTGCCCGGGGGTGAGGAGCAGGTGGCGCCGCTCTTCGGGCCCCCTTGCGCCACGGCTGACTTGCTTTCTGGTGCATTCGGGCTGCGCACCCACTGACCTCCTCTGCTTCCCCTCCCCTCCCTCCCAGAGCAGCCCCACGCGACTGTCTGTGCTTCCGCCGCGCGCAGTGTTCACGCTCTGCCGCCCAGACCCCAGCCCGGGCTCAGCAGCCCTCGGTGCATTGCTCCTTGTTCTCCCTCAGCCCCCGGCTGCTTCCTGGCGGGGCTGTCTGTGAACCTCTCCGTCATTCTCCCACGTGCCCTAGAAGCCTCGGCTCTGCTTCCCTCAAGGTCGACCCCAGTGAGCAGTGCATCCACACTAGTTCTCTCCGAGGAGAGAGAAGACTTCAGACCATTCGGTTGCGAGTATGTGTTTTGTTCTGATCTTGTCTGCTAGGGGAGAGGCCCCAGCAGGCCCGGGCAGAAGTGCATTTGGAGGTGGGGATAGTCTACAGGAAGAGACGAAGCTGGATTGTCACTGTGAGGCTAAACACGGACGACTACTGGCTGGCTAATGGTCCTGGCAGGCGGCCGGTTTCCCAGAAAACTTCCAAAAGGGCCCTGGCCGGTTTGGCTCCGCGGTTA